GCCGCGCATAATCAAACGTACGAACCACAGCCAGCTGGTCAGGTATTGACTTTAAGTGTCTGTCCTGCCAGGGGTCTTGAAGACAGCCAGGGGTCTTGAAGATACTCAGGGGGTCTTAAAGATACTCAGGGGGCCTTTAAGACAGCCAGGGGTCTTGAAGACAGCCAGGGGTCTTGAAGATAGCTAGGGGTCTTATTAGTAATCCCCCATATGTATGCTGGGAGACAGTTGAACAGTCTTGGGCCCCTGACGTAATGTCAGACGTTTTTTTTGATTACAGGTTTGTCAGCCCATATGATTTGAAGCAGCAGTGGCAGCCATATATACAAAGTCTGTGCTCAATATTACTACTAGTACACCCAGAAATTTAACTAGTATTTAAGTTTTTAGTAAACAGAAATGTAGTACCATCTCAGTAATACGGTAGAGAAGAGGAAGGATCTTACTCAGGGTCTTCAAGACCACGAGGGTAGAGTCTTACTCAGGGTCTTCAAGACCACGAGAGTAGGGTCTTACTCAGGGTCTTCAAGACCACGAGGTAGGGTCTTACTCGGTCTTAAAGACCACGAGGGTAGGTCTTAGTCGGGGTCTTCCAGACCACGAGGTAGAGTCTTACTCAGGTCTTCAGACCACGAGAGTAGGGTCTTACTCAGGTCTTCAAGCCCACGAGGGTGGGGTCTTACTCAGGGTCTTCAAGCCACGAGGTAGGTCTTATCAGAGGTCTTCAAGACCACGAGGGGTCTTACTCAGGGTCTTCAAGACCACGAGAGTGGGTCTTACTCAGGGTCTTCAAGACCACGAGGAGGGTCTTACTCAGGGTCTTCAAGACCACGAGGTAGGGTCTTACTCAGGTCTTCAAGACCGGGGGTAGGGTCTTACTCAGTCTTCAACCACGAGGGTAGGGTCTTATCAGGGTCTTACAAGACCACGAGGGTAGGTCTTACTCAGGGTCTTCAAGACCACGAGGGTAGGTCTACTAGGGTCTTCAAGACCACGAGGTAGGTCTTACTCAGGTCTTCAAGACCACGAGGGTAGGGTCTTATCAGGGTCTTCAAGACCACAGGAGTAGAGTCTTACTCAGGTCTTCAAGACCACGAGGGTAATCTACTCAGGGTCTTCAAGACCACGAGGGTAGGGTCTTACTCAGGGTCTTCAAGACCACGAGGGTAGGATCTTACTCAGGGTCTTCAAGACCACGAGGGTAGGGTCTTACTCAGGGTCTTCAAGACCACGAGGGTGGAGTCTTACTCAGGGTCTTCAAGACCACGAGGGTAGAGTCTTACTCAGGGTCTTCAAGACCACGAGGGTAGGGTCTTACTCATGGTCTTCAAGACCACGAGGGTAGGGTCTTACTCAGGGTCTTCAAGACCACGAGGGTAGGGTCTTACTCAGGGTCTTCAAGACCACGAGGGTAGGGTCTTACTCAGGGTCTTCAAGACCACGAGGGTAGGGTCTTACTCAGGGTCTTCAAGACCACGAGGGTAGAGTCTTACTCAGGGTCTTCAAGACCACGAGGGTAATCTTACTCAGGGTCTTCAAGACCACGAGGGTAGGGTCTTACTCAGGGTCTTCAAGACCACGAGGGTAGGATCTTACTCAGGGTCTTCAAGACCACGAGGGTAGGATCTTACTCAGGGTCTTCACGACCACGAGGGTAGGGTCTTACTCAGGGTCTTCAAGACCACGAGGGTAGAGTCTTACTCAGGGTCTTCAAGACCACGAGGGTAAGTCTTACTCAGGGTCTTCAAGACCACGAGGGTAGGGTCTTACTCATGGTCTTCAAGACCACGAGGGTAGGGTCTTACTCAGGGTCTTCAAGACCACGAGGGTAGGGTCTTACTCAGGGTCTTCAAGACCACGAGGGTAAGGTCTTACTCAGGGTCTTCAAGACCACGAGGGTAGAGTCTTACTCAGGGTCTTCAAGACCACGAGGGTAATCTTACTCAGGGTCTTCAAGACCACGAGGGTAGGGTCTTACTCAGGGTCTTCAAGACCACGAGGGTAGGATCTTACTCAGGGTCTTCAAGACCACGAGGGTAGGGTCTTACTCAGGGTCTTCAAGACCACGAGGGTAGGGTCTTACTCAGGGTCTTCAAGACCACGAGGGTAGGGTCATACTCAGGGTCTTCAAGACCACGAGGGTAGGATCTTACTCAGGGTCTTCACGACCACGAGGGTAGGGTCTTACTCAGGGTCTTCAAGACCACGAGGGTAGGGTCTTACTCAGGGTCTTCAAGACCACGAGGGTAGGATCTTACTCAGGGTCTTCAAGACCACGAGAGTAGGGTCTTACTCAGGGTCTTCAAGAACACGAGGATAGGGTCTTACTCAGGGTCTTCAAGACCACGAGGGTAGGATCTTACTCAGGGTCTTCAAGACCACGAGAGTAGGGTCTTACTCAGGGTGTTCAAGACCACGAGAGTAGTCTTACTCAGGGTCTTCAATACCACGAGGGTAGGCTCTTACTCAGGGTTTTCAAGACCACGAGGGTAGGCTCTTACTCAGGGTTTTCAAGACCACGAGGGTAGGCTCTTACTCAGGGTCTTCAAGACCACGAGGGTAAGCACTTACTCAGGGTTTTCAAGACCACGAGGGTAGGCTCTTACTCAGGGTCTTCAAGACCACGAGGGTAGGCTCTTACTCAGGGTTTTCAAGACCACGAGGGTAGGCTCTTACTCAGGGTTTTCAAGACCACGAGGGTAGGCTCTTACTCAGGGTTTTCAAGACCACGAGGGTAGGCTCTTACTCAGGATCTTCAAGACCACGAGGGTACTCTCTTACTCAGGGTTTTCAAGACCACGAGGGTAGGCTTTACTCAGGGTCTTCAAGACCACGAGGGTAGGCTCTTACTCAGGGTTTTCAAGACCACGAGGGTAGGCTCTTACTCAGGGTTTTCAAGACCACGAGGGTAGGCTCTTACGCAGAGTTCTAGAGAACACGAGGGTAGAGTCTTACTCAGGGTCTTCAAGAATACGAGGGTAGGGTCTTACTCAGGGTCTTCAAGACCACGAGGGTAGGCTCTTACTCAGGGTCTTCAAGACCACGAGGGTAGGGTCTTACTCAGGGTCTTCAAGACCACGAGAGTAGGGTCTTACTCAGGGTCTTCAAGACCACGAGGGTAGGCTCTTACTCAGGGCTTCAAGACCACGAGGGTAGGGTCTTACTCAGGGCAAGACCACGAGGGTAGGCTCTTACTCAGGGTCTTCAAGACCACGAGGGTAGGGTCTTACTCAGGGTCTTCAAGACCACGAGAGTAGGGTCTTACTCAGAGTCTTCAAGACCTCGAGGGTAGGGTCTTACTCAGGGTTTTCAAGACCACGAGAGTAGGGTCATACTCAGGGTTCTAGAGAACACGAGGGTAGAGTCTTACTCTGGGTCTTCAAGAATACGAGAGTAGGGTCTTACTCAGGGTCTTCAAGACCACGAGAGTAGGATCTTACTCAGGGTCTTCAAGACCACGAGGGTAGGGTCTTACTCAGGGTCTTCAAGACCACGAGAGTAGGTCTTACTCAGGTCTTCAGACCACGAAGTAGGTCTTACTCAGGGTCTTCAAGACCACGAGAGTAGGGTCTTACTCAGGGTCTTCAAGACCACGAGGGAAGGGTCTTACTCAGGGTCTTCAAGACCACGAGGGTCTTACTCAGGGTCTTCAAGACCACGAGGGTAGTCTTACTCAGGGTCTTCAAGACCACGAGGGTAGAGTCTTACTCAGGGTTCTTCAAGACCACGAGGGTAGTCTTACTCAGGGCCTTCAAGACCACGAGGGTAGGGTCTTACTCAGGGTCTTCAAGACCACGAGGGTAGGGTCTTACTCAGGGTCTTAAAGACCACGAGGGTAATCTTACTCAGGGTCTTCAAGACCACGAGGGTAGGTCTTACTCAGGGTCTTCAAGACCACGAGGGTAGGGTCTTACTCAAGGTCTTCAAGACCACGAGGGTAGGGTCTTACTCAGGGTCTTCAAGACCACGAGGGTAGTCTTACTCAGGGTCTTCAAGACCACGAGGGTAGGCTCTTACTCAGGGTCTTCAAGACCACGAGGGTAGGGTCTTACTCAGGGTCTTCAAGACCACGAGCGTAGTCTTACTCAGGGTCTTCAAGACCACGAATGTAGAGTCTTACTCAGGGTCTTCAAGACCAGGAGGGTAATCTTAATCAGGATCTTCAAGACCACGAGGGTAGGGTCTTACTCAGGGTCTTCAAGACCACGAGGGTAGGTTCTTACTCAGGGTCTTCAAGACCACGCGAGTAGGGTCTTACTCAGGGTCTTAAAGACCACGAGCTTAATCTTACTCAGGGTCTTCAAGACCACGAGGGTAGGGTCTTACTCAGGGTCTTCAAGACCACGAGGGTAGGGTCTTACTCAGGGTCATCAAGACCACGAGGGTAGGGTCTTACTCAGGGTCTTCAAGACCACGAGGGTAGGGTCTTACTCAGGGTGTTCAAGACCACGAGGGTAGTCTTACTCAGGGTCTTCAAGACCACGATTGTAGGGTCTTACTCAGGGTCTTCAAGACCACGAGGGTAGGGTCTTACTCAGGGTCTTCAAGACCACGAGGGTAGTCTTACTCAGGGTCTGCAAGACCACGAGGGTAGAGTCTTACTCAGGGTTCTTCAAGACCACGAGGGTAGTCTTACTCAGAGCCTTCAAGACCACGAGGGTAGGGTCTTACTCAGGGTCTTCAAGACCACGAGGGTAGGGTCTTACTCAGGGTCTTAAAGACCACGAGGGTAATCTTACTCAGGGTCTTCAAGACCACGAGGGTAGGGTCTTACCCAGGGTCTTCAAGACCACGAGGGTAGGGTCTTACTCAGGGTCTTAAAGACCACGAGAGTAGGGTCTTACTCAGGGTCCTATAGCTATGTCACAAGGAAACACAGAGGGAAGGAACTGGCAATATCCTAGCAGGAGGACACAGAGAGGGAGGGGGGACTCCTACAATAGGGGATGGGAGGGGGAGGGGGAGGGTGTGGGACAGACGGACACACACCTAATACTCACTTCCTTTACTATCGTCTCCTGGGGAAGGCGGCGGGCTCTCCTTCAGGGGGTGATGGGGGCTTTCCATCGTCATCTGGTAAGGACTTGAGGCGGGCCGGGACCCACTGGCACACACTCGGCTCAAGGGTCAACTCCACCTTGACCTCTCTAGCAACTTACACAGCTTAGCAGCGTCCCGGACGGTGGTGTAGAAGGTAGAAGTAGCGGCGGAGAGGGCGTCCAGGGGGCAGCGGAGAGAGCGTCCAGGGGGCGGCGGAGAGGGGCGTCCAGGGGGCGGCGGAGAGGAGCGTCCAGGGGACTGACTAGTCAAGGTTCACCGGGTTTGAGCTTGGGAGGGAGGGAAGGAGGGAGGGAGGACGGGAACAAGTCTACGGCACCATCACACCTGTTGAAGAAGCAGAAGAAAACAACAACATTAGCAGGCCGCCAACACCAGTTTTCTTGGCGCTAACAAACACTTCCATTATTAAACATCCCAGGAGGAGGAACCTTAACTGCTTCACACAGTTTGTCTCCTTCCAATACACAAATAACTCGCACATAGGAGGAGATGACGACGACGTTACGGTCCGACTTGGACCATTTACAAAGTTTTCTTTGGTATTTTCCTCGTAAGTCAGGAACGTCTAATCCGCTCAGTTTGACACTCTCAGCGCTGGTGCACACTTTAGCTACGGTAGGAGACGATTCTTGGTATTATTGTCATGTACAGCTGACCTATGACCAGAGTTGTTGAACACATTCTCAGCATCCTGGAAAGACTGAGAAACATTCTCAGCATCTTGGAACGACTGAGAAACATTCTCAGCATCCTGGAACGACTGAGAAACATTCTCAACATCTTAGAACGACTGAGAAACATTTTCAGCATCCTGGAACGACTAAGAAACATTATCAAAATCCTGGAATTACTGGGGAACATTTCGCCAGTCAGTAGCTTCCTCAGTCCCATACAGAGAAGAATGATGGAAGATTAGGTATCCTTCAGCTATAATACAGGTAAACGTCAGGTATACTTCAGGTATACTACAGGTAAACTTCAGATATACTAGAGGTAAACTTAAGGTATACTTCAGGTATCCTTCAGGTATACATCTGGCATCCTTCAGGTATATTTCAGGTATGCATCTGGTATCCTTCAAGTATATTTCAGGTATATATCAGGTATACGTCAGGTACGAGGTATTCTATGAGGGATGATGCCTCATAAAGGATGCTAGTATCTGTGGAGAGTGAAAAGGTGGAGCAAAGGTAGGGAGAAGAGGGAGGGGTAGGGAGAAAGGAAAAGTAGGGGGAAGAGGGAGGGACAGGGAGAGGGCAAGTGAGAGAAGCCAGGGGAACGGGGAAGGAGACGGTGAGGGGGTGAGAGGAAGGAAGGAGGGGGAGGGAGAAATTAAGGTGAAGGAGGCAAGAGAGCTGCCAGGAGGTAGTGGTTACCTGCTGTTTCCTGTGATGACTTCCGCTCTGTGATAGTCTCACTGCTGGCCATCACCAGGAGGGGAGGGGGAGGGGTGCAAGGGTAAGGAGGTGCAACAGTGGAAGGGGGAGCAGAAGAGGAAGAGGGGAGTGGGAGTAACAGCTGGACAATACTAGCATTATCAGCATCAACCACCACTACCACCACTACTACCACCACCACCACTATTACCACCACCACTACCACCACCACCACTACCACCACAACTACCACCACCACCACTACTACTACCACCACCACCACTACCACCACCATTACTACTACCACCACCACTACCACCACCACCACTAAACCCCCACCACCACTACCACCACCACTACCACCAGAACCATCACCACCACTACCACCACCACTACCACCACCACTACCACCAGAAAACCATCACCCCACTACCACCCCACCATTACCACCACCCTCACCACTACCACCACTACTACCACCACCACCATTACCACCCACATTACCACCACCACTACCACCATAAACCCCTACCACCACAACTACCACCACCACCACTACTACTACCACCACCACCACTACCACTACCACCCCCACTACCACCACCCCCCACCACTACCACCACCACCATACCACCACTACCACCACCACTACCACCACCACTACCACCACCCATTATCACCCACCACTACCCCCACACCCCCCCACACCACCACACTACCACCCACCACTACCACCAAACCCCTACCACCACCATTACCACCACAACCTACCACCACCACTACCACCACCACTAAACCACCACTACTACCACTACCACCACCACTACCACCACCACCGCTACCACCACCACCACTACCACCACCACTACCACCACCACCCACCACCACCCCCCTACCACCACCACAAACCCCCACCACTACCCCCACCACCACCACTACCACCACCACCACCACTACCACCACCACCACTACCATCACCACTACCACCACCACTACTACCACCACCACCACACCCCCACCACCACCACCACCACTACCACCACCGCCACTACACCACCACACCATCACCACTACCCACCACCCCACTACCACCACCACTACCACCACCACACCACCACCACTCCACCACCCCACCACCACCCCTACCACCACCACCACCACCATCACCACTACCACCACCAACTACCACCACCACTACCACCACTGCCACCACCACTACCACCACCACCACTACCACCACCACTACCACCACCCAAACCCCACTACCACCCCCACCACCACCACTACCACCACCACTACCACCCTGCCACCACCACTACCACCACCACCACTACCACCACCACCACTACCACCACCCCACCACCACCACCACCACCACCACCACTACCACCACCACCACTACCACCACTACCACCACCACTACCACCACCACACCACTACCACCACCACTACCACCACCACCACCCCTACCACCACCACTACCACCACCACTACCACCACCCCCACACCACCACTACCACCACCACTACCACCACCACTACCACCACCACTACCACCACCACTACCACCACCACTACCACCACCACTACCACCACCACTACCACCACCACTACCACCACCACTACCACCATTCACCAGCAGTTAAAATAGATGACTGAGAGATAACCAGGTGTTACTGTACACAGTGTTACGTAAAATATAAAGAACTGTCAAAGTCTGTAATGTTGTAGCACATCCTGTGGATGGTAGTGGCTAGTTTACTGTGTTGTAGCACATCCTGTGGATGGTAGTGGCTAGTTTACTGTGCACTACACATCCTGTGGAGGGGAGTGGGCTGTTTACTGTGTTGTAGCACATCCTGTGGATGGTAGTGGCTAGTTTACTGTGTTGTAGCACATCCTGTGGATGGTAGTGGCTAGTTTACTGTGTTGTAGCACATCCTGTGGATGGTAGTGGCTAGTTTACTGTGTTGTAGCACATCCTGTGGATGGTAGTGGCTAGTTTACTGTGTTGTAGCACATCCTGTGGATGGTAGTGGCTAGTTTACTGTGCACTACACATCCTGTGGATGGTAGTGGCTAGTTTACTGTGCACTACACATCCTGTGGATGGTAGTGGCTAGTTTACTGTGTTGTAGCACATCCTGTGGATGGTAGTGGCTAGTTTACTGTGCACTACACATCCTGTGGATGGTAAAGTAACAACATATGGATACACAATAGGTCCAAGAACTAGGAACCAAAAGGGTAAGCTGGAATACATCTAGATTTATATATACAATTGTCTTATCTGTTGCAAGCAAATTCAGGATATTTGCTTAACATTCCCTGTATTTTATTTTTCATTAATAAAATACCTTGACCTCGGTAGTAGCTTGGTAGACAGCAACCACCCAGGGAGGTACTACCGTCCTGTGGTAGTAGCTTGGTAGACAGCAACCACCCAGGGTGGTACTACCGTCCTGCGGTAGTAGCTGGTAGACAGCAACCACCCAGGGAGGTACTACCGTCCTGCGGTAGTAGCTTGGTAGACAGCAACCACCCAGGGAGGTACTACCGTCCTGCGGTAGTAGCTTTTGGGAGCAGCAACCACCCAGGGAGGTACTACCCTCCTGTGGTAGTAGCTTGGTAGGACGCAAATACCCAGGGAGGTACTTCCGCCTGCGGTAGTAGCTGGTAGACAGCAACCCTCCAGGGAGGTTACTACCGTCCTGCGGTAGTAGCTTGGTAGACAGCAACCACCCAGGGAGGTACTACCGTCCTGCGGAGTAGTGGGAGACAGCAACCACCCAGGGAGGTACTACCGTCCTGCGGTAGTAGCTTGGGTAGACAGGGAACCACCCAGGAGGTACTACCGTTCCTGTGGTAGTAGCTTTGGGAGACCCGCAACTACCCAGGGAGGTACTACCGTCCTGCGGTAGTAGCTGGTAGACAGCAACCATCCAGGGAGGTACTACCCTCCGCGGTAGTAGTTGGTAGACAGCAAACCCCAGGGGGGTACTACCGTCCTGTGGTAGTAGCTTGGTAGACAGCAACTACCCAGGGAGGTACTACCGTCCTGCGGTAGTAGCTGGTAGACAGCAACCATCCAGGGAGGTACTACCGTCCTGCGGTAGTAGCTTGGTAGACAGCAACCACCCAGGGAGGTACTACCGTCCTGTGGTAGTAGCTTGGTAGACAGCAACTACCCAGGGAGGTACTACCGTCCTGCGGTAGTAGCTGGTAGACAGCAACCATCCAGGGAGGTATACTGTCCTGCGGAGTGCTTGGTAGACAGCAACCACCCAGGGGGGTACTCCGTCCTGTGGTAGTAGCTTGGTAGACAGCAACTACCCCGGGAGGTACTACCGTCCTCGGTAGTAGCTTGGTAGACAGCAACCATCCAGGGAGGTACTACCGTCCTGCGGTAGTAGCTTGGTAGACAGCAACCACCCAGGGAGGTACTACCGTCCTGTGGTAGTAGCTTGGTAGACAGCAAAACCCCCCAGGGAGGTACTACCGTCCTGCGGTAGTAGCTTGGTAGACAGTAACCACCCAGGTAGGTACTACCGTCCTGCGGTAGTAGCTTGGTAGACAGCCCCCACCCAGGGGGGTACTACCGTCCTGCGGGTAGTAGCTGGTAGACAGCAACTACCCAAGGAGGTACTACCGTCCTGCGGTAGTAGCTGGTAGACAGCAACCATCCAGGGAGGTACTACCGTCCTGCGGTAGTAGCTTGGTAGACAGCAACCACCCAGGGAGGTACTACCGTCCTGTGGTAGTAGCTTGGTAGACAGCAACTACCCAGGGAGGTACTACCGTCCTGCGGTAGTAGCTGGTAGACAGCAACCATCCAGGGAGGTACTACCGTCCTGCGGTAGTAGCTTGGTAGACAGCAACCACCCAGGGAGGTACTACCGTCCTGTGGTAGTAGCTTGGTAGACAGCAACTACCCAGGGAGGTACTACCG